AAGTAGACTGGTTTCTTCCCTTCGGTAGTTTCGCAGATGAGGGTCGCGCTGCCGGCCTCAGTCGTGACGACGAGGTATAAATATAGAGTCTCCCCGTCCTCAGATCGCGACAGAACTGGGGGTTCTGAGACGACTTGTTTGAGGTGGAGGAGGGCTTATTTGCACTGCTCGGTCCACTCGAAAGTGGCCTCCTTGCGCAGAAGCTTGAAAAAGGGGAGTGCGTGTCAGGCAGACTTAGCCATATAGCGGGACAGCGAGGCGAGTATCCCGTTTAGAGATTGGATCGATTTCTTTGAGTTCGGCGTTGGGAACTCGAATAAACCTCTGAACTTGTCGGGGTTTGCCTCTATCCTTTGCTCTATCAAGTAGAAGCCAAGGAACTTGCCTGCTCGGACACCGAAGGTGCACTTCTCTAGGTTGAATCTCATCTTGCATCTCTTCGCCATATCGAAGACCTTTCTGAGATGGGCGGTGTGGTCGATTTCTTCTCGCAATTTCACGATCATGTTGTCCATGTAGACCTCGAGCATGTCCCGATCTCGCCCCGAAAGACTTTGTTCATCATTCGCTGGTAGGTTGCGGCGACGTTTTTCAAACCGAAAGGCATTACGTTGTAGTAATAATTGCTCGACTCGGTCATGAAAGCTGTGTATTGATTGTCGGCCTTCGCCATGGGGATCTAGTTGTATCCCGAGTACGCGTCCATGAAAGATAGTAGTTTAAAACCTGCAGAATTGTCGACCAATTTGTCGATGTTTGGCAATGAGTATGCATCTTTGGGACATGCCCGATTAAGATCGGTATAATAACCACACATGCACCACTTTCCATTAGATTTTTTGACAAGTACAACATTGGACAACTAGGTTGTGTACTAGGCTTCCGAAATGAAATTTGTCTATAAGAGGTCTTTTGCAGCTTTTTCAGCACCCTCCGCTTTCTTGGGAGACTGGCTACGCCTACGTTGTACTATGACCCTATCGTCCGGATCTATGGTGAGTTGGTGGCAGGCCACATCGGGATTGAGCCCGGGCATCTCTGCAGCGCTCCACACGAACAGGTCAACATTCTCCCTGAGGCAGACCTTCAGCTGCTTCCTTGTCAAGTTGAGGAGCCATGTGTCAATCTACACGCTCCTTGCCAGGTCAGTATTCTATTCATTGTGAATAGAATACTTGACTCTCTAGTGAAAGAGGATATTTATAATGTGCCCCCAGCACGGGACCAACAGTTACTTTGCATTTGGTTGGATTTCCAGGCCCAATACGAATAAAGTCAAGGCTTGTGTGGCGTAGGGAAGACCAACACATGGTCTTCGCCTTTAGTCAACTGCCTTGTGATCTTCGGAAGGTGAGTAATTGCTTGATGACGTGTCCCCGCGTGGGAGGCACGTGTAATTCGTGGGGGAGACGTGTGAGCGCTCTCCGTGTGATGTGATAAACTGGGCCCTCATTGGGTCCTCCCCGACTAAGAAATGAATTCTGCCGTGTTCGACAGTGGGGTGGCCTCTGACCCAATTCAGAACAGTATATATGAAAAACTATATTTATATTTTAAATATAAATAAAAATAGGGTTTTTTTTAAATAAAAAACTTTTGGTAAAATAATTTTATCTTTTTTTTTAAAAGAAATAATACCTGCAAATATTGATTTTATCTTTTTTTTAATATAAATTATATTTTTTATATTTATTAATTTTTATTAATTCTATTTTCTTTATAAATTAAATGTGAACAAATGCGCCTGATCGACTAGTAACCTGCAAATACACGGAGATCATCCTAGTATATATTGACATAGATATCATGCGTCTAATTATAATGAAAATGACAAAATCACAAATAACAGATAGTATTTAGGAAAATATTTTTGAGGTCGTGTATATTTTACCTGTCGTTTGCGTTTGAAAGTGCATGATACTCTTGCCCATAAGTCATAACTAGGGCTTCTCCATCACTAATTTAGCTTCCCGTGTCCATGGAAAGCCTTATGCATACTACAATAAGAAAATTAGGTGAAATTGAAATATGTACAAAAATCGTAAATGATATTTATGTTTCATTTTCACATGTTTATTGCGAATTGATTATATGACAGACTCGATGTTTTAAGAGATTTGCAAAAATATTCAATGAATTGATTTTGAAAATTAAGTTCAAGATCGACCCAAATAATATAATTGCAAACTGATTCAAAAACATTAAAACCAAAAATCAAATAGTTTTAAATATATTTAAATTCATTTTTCTGAAAATGGATCGTATTTTTTGTTTTTTATTAGTATAATATAATATACCAATTTAGTATTAAGACTTTTGATTAGTTTAGTTTATCTATTTGTTTTTAATATTTCATCTATTTCATATATAATCGATTATTCTTATTTCATATTTATAATATTTTAATAAAATGTATGTTGTATATTATTTTAAATTTATTATTTTATATCATTTTTATAAAACTAAAATTAATAAAAGTTTTAAATTGTAATTTAGATATTTAAAAATCAATTCAAATTAAATCACATTAAATTAAATCGATTTGATCAGATTGTTTTTAACTACTAATAATTCAAAATCAAACTAAATCATAAATAATATATATATATATATATATATATATATATATATATATATATATATATATATATATATATATATATATATATATATATATATATATATATATATATATATATATATATATATATATATATATATATATATATATATATATATATATATATATATATATATATATATATATATTTATTATTAAAAATAAAAATAAATTTAATTATACTTATAAATTATTTATTTTAAACCACCCACAAAATTAATTTATTTATTTTAAATTTTAAATTCAAATCATTTTGCTTTTTTTTCCACTCATTTGCACTCAAAATCGATGGCATATACTTTTAATAGAAATTTTGTAAAATATGGCAGATTAACAACACTCTATAAAAAATGAATAAATTATCAATTTTAATGATAATTCAGCCAATATTTTTATAAATAGATAATAAATTTTTTTAATATTCATGAAAAATAAATTAAACTCTATAATTAAAATAAAATTTAATAATATAAATTCAAAGTTCAAAGTTCAAATATTGAACAAATCAACTATAAATATCTAGTGAATATATATATATATATATATATATATATATATATATATATATATATATATATATATATATATATATATATATATATATATATATATATATATATATATATATATATATATATATATATATATATATATATATATATATATATATATATATATATATATATATATATATATATATATATATATATATATATATATATATATATATATTAAGTTTATTAATTAATTCGTCATGGAAAATTAGATATGTAGTTTTATACATAATTCTAGATTTTTGGGTTATATCTATATTTTCTACATAATTCTTTGTTGTCTCAATTCATAAGATTAGGTTACTCCATCTAACTACAAATTCATAAGATTAGGTTACTCCATCTAACTACAAAATCTTGAAAAAATGAAGTAGGTGCCAAATATCTCCTTTTGAAATATTAATAGTTTTATGAATAAATGATAAACTCACATTGTTTTTATTAGCAACTCAATAGTGATTGAAGTTGATATCATTTATGCTAGGTTTTACTTTTTCACACAAGTAATCCAACATGTTTTTTTAGAGAGAGATTCTCTAACTTTTTTTCTAAAAATTTATCGTGTCCTCTCATTTTTTTTTTAAGATAAGAAGTTTCATTTTCAGTAGTTTCTAGTTTCCCGCCCAAGTGCTTTTCAACTCTTCCACGGTGGAGGGTTACCACTTTTCTCATCTCATCCGTGCTCTCATCAGAAGTTCGTTTGTTTTTGGTTTCTTTCATATTTCTAGAGGTATATCGCTAAAATTTAGTCAAATAGTTGGTATCATTGGATAAATGGAAGAATATCCGGTTGTCCAAGGAGGAAGAAGAAGGTATTGTAGCGGAAGCTAAAAAGGTCTGCGAAAGAGAAATATTTCAACGTACACTTGCAGGAAAATTATGGACTGATAACAACTTCAACACTAGAGCTTTTATCAGTACAATAACAGGAGCATGGAAGCTAAGAAACCCAGTTGATGTTCAAGAGTTAAACAAAATCCTCTTCCTTTTTCGGTTCGCTGCTAAGAGAGATCTGGAAAATGTCCTAAAGAATGGGCCATGGAGCTTTGATAAGAACATACTCATTTTGAGCCGTATATCAGGTGAAGAACAACCCTCAGATTTGAATATGCATTATGGATCCTTTCGAGTTCGGATCTACAAACTCCCTCTTATGCTCCGCTCAGAAGCCATGGCAAAGAAGCTATGAGGGATCTTGGGTGAATTTGAAGAAATGGATTCGAAGGAAGCTTATAGGAACAAGAGATTTTTGAGAGTCAAAGCAAAAATAGATCTCAAGAAGCCCCTGAAGAGAGGTACTATGGTGCGCTTCAAGAAAAAAAAACCTGCAAGTTCATTTCAAGTATGAACTTCTTCCTACTTTCTACTTTGTTTGTGGAAGAGTGGGTCACCATATCAAAGATTGTGAAACGGTTGAAGACCTCAGTGAAGAATGTTTCGAAGATCTGGACGAAAAAGATTTGTCGTTTGGAACATGGTTGCGAGCATCTCCTTTACCAAAGACACAAGAGGAGTCAAAGATGAAAGAGTCTAATTCTAACTCGTGCGGTAGAAGTTTGTTCAACACCCCGTTAGGCCAAAGTAGATGTGAGGCTAAAGGTAAAGGTAAGGAGGGAGATGAAGGGGAAGTAGAGAAAAAAAGAGTTCACAATCAGAAGATTTTGAGCCTTAAACTATCACTAACGGAAAAACAAAAACTAGAAGCACATCAACCTAAAGGAAAAGTTGTCCTGGAAGTTGAAGCTATGGCGGAGTCTTTGGGGTGGTGGATATTTCTAATATAGGAAATGGTCAAAAGAAAATATTGATTTAGGCACGGGCAAAAGATGAAAATGAACGAGGAGGCAAACCACAAGGAAAGTGAAACTAGGTATGGAAAAACATTTAGAAGTAGAATGTGGAAAACACAACCTTGTAGATTTCATGATCTTAGATGGCACTGTTGGAATCTGTGGCATGGGAGAGAAGAAACTAAGAGGGCGGATGCATCAATGAAGGAAATCGCTAAACAACCAGAGGTGGTGTTGGACGACCAACACCTCCTAAAGCAATGAAAATCTTGAGTTGGAAATGCAGGGGGTTGGGGAGTCCCCGTGCAGTTTGAGCCTTGATAAGGCTCGTTCTTGTAGAAAAACCTAACTTGGTTTTTGTTGCGGTGGAAATAGGATCACAAACTATTAATGAGTTTGAATCGCAATTCAATTCACAACCGCTCTTTGATTTATCCGAAGGAAAAGGTCAAAAGAGGGAAAACCTATTTTGCATCGTAAACACAATGCGGGGAAAGATCTAGGGTTCGGGGGTTGGTTAAATTTAGGGAAGGTATTAGCACCCTAAACTTCTGTAGTACTCTACAGGAACCTTTTGTTCAAATGTTTACTATTTGCTTTATTCATTTGCTTAAGGTATATGTACAAAGGATTAAAAGTGAGAAAAGAGACCTAAGGGGTTAATTCTAAGTTTACTCGGCAAGACATCGCATCTTGTGCCTACGTATCCTTACGGGAGTGGAATCAGAGTAATCGCAGTTCCCCTCAAAAGGGAGGTTAGAAACGTCTTGACTGTGGCCAAGGTTTCAATGGGGAATAAACGTATCTTAGGGACACGCTTACATGGAGTGTAGAAACTCCAAATCTCTACGTTGAATTGTTAAGTTGTAATTAGGGTTAAATTAGGTTAGGGATTCCACGGCGGGAAACCCTAAAATGAGCGCGGCGGCTCTTTGACCTAATGCTAGGGGTAAAATTGTAATCTTGCCTGCGGCGAGGCATTTGTGAAAATTAGGGTTTGTAAGGGTGTAGTTTTGAGGTTTTGAGGTTGAGGACTATTGACACGGCGGTCAAACGGCTAGACCTAATTCCTTCGGAGGTGCGTGGTGTGACTGGAATATTAATGAAGATGTGAGATGATTTATGCAAGCAAAAAAATAAAGACAGCAGTTAAAGCCATACAAACAGAAATTTAAAGGCAGAAACTTAAAGCGCGATTATTAGGTTCGCGTAGTTACATATGAGAAACAGATACAAATATAAATGAAACTTAAATGAAAACTCAACACAATAGTAATAAATATGGACTGCAAAAATGAACACCCGTTAGTAGACAGAGTTAGGCAACAATGAGTTACGAGAAGATGTATATTGAGACTTTACTATTGCTTTATTTAAAAAAGTCTTACTAATTTAATGTTAGCTTGTAAAAGAAATTAAAAAAAAAGGTTTTATTTTTACATTTTTAAAAAAAGTCTTTCTTATTTTATTTAAAAAAAGGTTTTTATTATCCTTATATTTTTAAAAAAGATTTTTTTTATAACTACAAAATTAAAATGTTATATTTTTTTTATAAAGATTTTTTTTTTTAAATTATAAAAATTAAAATGTAAAAAAAAATGGGTTTTTTTTTTAAAACATAAAACTAATTAAATTAAAAACAAAACATAAAATAATAAAAAAAGGGGAGGGTTGGGCCGGTCATCACACCCGGTCCCAACCCATTTGTTAGTCATGAGGGAACACTTTAGGGTTTCACCCCAAAGTACATTCGCGGCGCCGTTTCATTCTTCTTCTCCTCTCTCTCGCTTCTCTTCTCCTTCACGATACCATTCGTCTTCTTTTCCGTTGATGGCTTTCGTTATGTCACCTTATCCTGAAAACAAAGTAAAGCAACATGTTAATTTCATGATGGCTTACGTTTTTCGACCGTAACTCTTCCAATCTGCGATGAAAGGCCGATGATGGATGGTACACGACGCGTTTGAACGATGACGACGATGTCCTTCGTCTGAGTTCGTGGCTTTCGTTCACGGCGCCTAGGATTTGTTCGTTCTCTCTTTCTCGTGGCCACCAGTTAGGGTTTCTGCGCTTGGAGTGTTCTTCGTTCTCCCTCTCTCACGCGGCTACCTCCCCCCTTGATGGTGAGATCGTTCCTTTTTATATACTTTTTTTTCAATCATTCTTTTGGGCCTTTGATCTGATTTGCTGCTCTTTTTCTGAGATATGATTTCGTGTTGATTTTTGATGATTCGATTTGATTTTGTTTTCATAACCAGCATACTTTTGATTTGATTGAAAGTTTGATATGATTTTGTTTGGTTTTTTCAGATAACGATTGAACCATGTTCCCTCTTTTAGGGTTCGATTGGGATTTCGGTGAGATTGGCTTTCATTTGTTTCTGATATATTTGATCTGATTGAATCTTATTTCCCTTCTTAAGATTTGATTGGGATTTCTTTTGTCATGATTCTGGGCTCGTGATTTGTGAACTTGGTGCTTTGGCTTGTTCTGATTCACTTGATACGATTTAATCTTCCCTGATTTAGAATTGATATCAATATCAAAATTGTTTTCTGTTATTTTTCTGCTACAATTTGCCTTGCACCTTCAGGGTGGATACGGTTATGATCTGTCATGGACTTGGTCTGCTTTCCAGATATTGATTGGATTCATACAGATTCTGTTTGACACAACTGGATTTGTTTCGAAATGTTTTCATTCTGATTTGTTTTGGTTAACTGGTTTATTTATTCTGATTCCATTTGAACTGCTTCGTGATAAACCGAATCATTCTTCTCTGATTTACTCGAACTCAATTCTTCTGATAGGGACCGTTTTGATACTATGGGCATCTTTTTTACTGATGTGGTTCTTTTGATGCAGATTTTCAGTAAACTAACTTTGGTTATCCAATTTTCGATGTCGCTGTGGGTTTATTGATTTTGGTCCTAATTTGATATCACTGAGTTTCGAATCTGGCGTAGACTGATACGGCCATAGTGTTGGATCCTTTTGATGTCAATTGGATTTGTCTGGGGATTCATTTATGAACTGGGCGGTTTTTATACTTTATGAATCGAATTGTCCATTCAAGATTATGCAGCTCGTGACTCGTTTTTTGGCTTTGAGTTCTGTTATGAACTTTGTTTGATCTTTGATGCTTGTGTTAAACTTCCGGCGGGAGACTCATAACCTGACTGATACACTTACTTGCCTGGGCAGTGATTTTCGAACTGAGCCCAGGCCCGTGCCTTTCGATCTTCTGCAATGAGCTTGCTCATTTGGTTCAAAAGGTGTTGCACTATTATGACATTCAGATTTATGAACTGGTTTTTTCTGATATGGATTCGGCTGGTTTTGTTTGGTTTTGAGACAACCTTTATGATGTTATTTGATTGTTGTTTTCAGACCTTGACCCGTGGGGGTCTTATTTGAGGCGAGTTTCAACTGATCAACTTTGGGATTCTTTGCTTGATTGTTCTTGCGCTGAGCTTGCCTTGAACAGAACTTATTCTTTTGATTTACTGCCTTGTTGCTGTTGTTTCAGATGTTAGTATTGGCTCTGATTCGTTTTCTGATACAAGTTCACTGACTCTTCTTTTTCTTCTTTCAGAGGGCAACTGATGGTGTGGTTATTGCCAGGTCAAAGCCATCGAGAAGGGTTACCCGGTGATGATGACCTTAGGGTCTGAACCATTTGGAACAGGATACTATAACCTTGACTTGTGTTTTATATTTTTGCTTCTGATTAAACTGGTGATGAGCCCTGTGTTTGTGCACTTGTTTGTTTCATGAACTGAGTATGGCTTCGCTATGATCTTGTGCTGGCGCTCCCTTATGTGTTGCTTGCCATTGAAACTGTTTTGAATGGGGACTTGCCTTTAACTGATGTTGCTGAATCTTGTGATACCTTGTCCTATGTTATTTTGCCGCAGCTTGTTGTGTCTCATTTTTCTGTACATGGTTCAGAACTGATGCTGCTCCTGAACTGTTTAGGTTTTGAGTTCCAAATTCTGAATCTTGACATTGATGCGTTTGTGGCTTTTCAGGTGTTGGAAATTTTGAAACCAAGGTGACTCAGACCTGCCGGCATCCGGGTTTGAGTCAAAACTTGCCTATGTTGCCTTATTCTCGTATCAGTTTGGAAATCCAATCGCGGCAAAACGAATCAGCCCCACTTCTTTTATTTTTTCTATCTCTCGGATGTCCCGCAACGATTAAGAACAGGTGTTACCTGATCTGACGCCTACGGCGCGGATTGGTAACGGGGGTAGGTCGCAGCTTCGGTTGTGCCACTCCCGGCACTCGATGATGACATCGTTCTGAGAGTGTCAAAAGCATCTTCTAACCTTTTTTCTATATTGCTTGTTTTGCTTTGATGTGCAGGTTAATCGAGATTTGCGGCGAAGCTTAAAGACAGCATGAAGACACTTAGATGTTCTTAGGATTTAGGATAGATACCTTAAGGATCAATGTAATTCCTTGTAACATTATTTCTGAAATGTGAAGTATTCTTTATTTCTTGTATGATGAGATTCTTTTATGAAATAAAATTCCCAAAATTTGAACTCATTTATATTTTATTCTTAGTTAAAAATATAAATATTTGTGAATAAATCCACAAGTATCTAATTCATTAACATAGGCATAAAACATAAACACTCCCAAGTGATATTCTTATTTGTGGACTCGTCTCATTTATAATCCTAATCTCATCATCTGATTAAAATCCCTTTTAGATGTTAACCAACCATTTCGTAACCAAATACGTATGTGCACCGTAATCACGACAACTTCAGCCTCAACAACAAAACTAATCGTAATTAAATTCCTCTGACCAAACACCGAGAGCCACAAACCAACAATACCCAATTATGACTGTGCCTTAATAACAGAACGAAAGTGCTTTGGAAATAAACCATGAGCGATGGAATGTATCTTAAATCCAGTTGTGCTTAACAAGTTTTAATACCGACCACATCAAATTGGCACCTTGATACAATCAGAACTGGGGATAAGTAAACGCCTCTAAAATAGTGTATCAAACGCCTCAGAACTTAATAACAACCCGTCTTCAAGGAATTAGCAGAAGTTGTGTAAAATGACCAAAATACCCCTGGAACCCAATCTGCAAAACAAAAAACCTCCATAACTGGTTAGCGGTTAGCAATGTACATATGAGATGATATGCGAAATGACTGGCTAAATATAAGGGTAAAATTTGGGGTATTACAGTTGCCCCTATTTAAATAGCTACACTGGACGATTTGAGTGACAGAGA